TCGAGCTTAACTGATTCAGTCAGCTAAAGGCATTTAAAACCACCCATTCAGCAGAATGCTTTCGTACCCATTTCACTCACAGTCTGGATGAAATGCCAAAGGAGGAGTACTAGTCATTATTCAAACAACATTTCACTTTGAGACCAAGAATTTATGCTGGTTTATGCAACTTAAGGGTCTGTTTCCATCTAATCACACAATTTAAGTTCATCCAGTTGATTTTGCCCTAAATCCAATGAGCAGTGCTCAAGTTATGAGGATATAGTTGCTGCCAGTCACATTTCGAGAAGTGACCTCAAAGTATACTTTATACAGACAGACCCTCAATCTACCTTCCAAGCCGAAGAGATTCAGGATCATCCCAGTACAGGAGAACTTAGAGATGCTACAATCCATCCCCAAACACAAGCTATTGTAGCCTGCCATACAGTCAGGAAGATCAGGAAAGATGATGAGGTAAGCAGTACATTTGACAGATGCAGTTCAGATGAGCAGGAAGTTAAAGGGGCAGAGAATGAGGAGTAGGTCTTCCTGGGCAAGTACCAGTATTTCCATAGGGGTCCCAGAGGCTGTACCTTAAGAAGGGAGCAAGAAAAAAAGCTGAACTGATGACATTACTGGTCATGAGAGGAATGTGGTTTAGCTTAAGTATAGCATGAAAAAAAATGATTGAAGAGTGTCCAAGCATTTTATTAAGCACATTCAGAAGGAAAAAGAGCTGGTTTGGTGAAAGGAGCTGTGCTCACAGTCTTGGATCTGGCTTAAATATCTTTCTCCCATGGAAAGGTTTACCGAGGGGGACTGAAGGAGCACAGAACCACAGATGGCCCCTAATGCCTGTGCACAAAGCATGAGGACAGGTAAGTCCATGTGTACTCTGAAGGCACTGATTGATATGTCATAGCTGGTTTTGAGTGCCTGTAGCACCATCTTCACAGTGGAGTCTGCATATAGACAATTCCTGTCTGAGAATCTCCCTGCCCTAAGGCTATTAGCATAAAACCTCCTTCATCTTATCCTATCTACATCTCAGATTACTGTCTTGCTCAAGGGGAGGCCAGGAGTTCAAAGAAAACCAATCTGCTGACCTAAGTGGGTCGTTTTGGGGTAGACAGGTGAGAAGATCTAGGTATGAGGAGGATGAATGAATGCATTTAGATCTGGTGGGACCTCTGTCTCCTTCAGGGCCAGAGCTCTGCTTAAGGGAGAATTAGAGTATGTGTATGCATAGCCAGAGTTAAACTGAACTAGCTCTGCCTGAGACACCTAGGAAAAAATTCATAACAGGTAATTGACTACTAAAACCTATTCCTAGTTTATGTGGTGGGTATTAATACCGCACTGATTACAATGAAAGGTATTACAGAATGTAGTCAGTTGATGCATAACCTCTTGACAGCCATCCTGAACACTGAATATGTAACTTTTCTAATGTGATTAAACATTAGTGCTGGAAAAGTGGTGGACAGAACATTGAAACATTTTTCCGCATCCCTAATGACAATATCCTAATAAAAAGAATTCCAAATATCAGAGGAAGTGATCAAAAGAGAGACCATTAAGGTGAGCTTAATTCTGGAACTTGGATTAGAGGACATTCACACTTCAGAGTGAAGGAAGAGCCCTGAAAATCATTTTGTTGCACCTTCTAGACAAGTACAAATTAAGTATTTTAAAACACAGTTGGGTGAATGTTTCCCAGATATCATTAGTAACAGAGTTCTCAAAATTCAAAGTTCATTGGGCTACAAAGATGTTACATTACAGTGGATGGGAGAAATCCATTTCTACAAGAATATGTGAGAAACTTTTTCCTAACATACCTTCAGGGATATCAATTTTCAAACTGTAAAGCTTGCCCCAAAGCTATTTATAAGGAGCATATAAAAATGCAAAGGGATCTCAACAATGTCAGTCTAAGTGAGTTAAGTGTAAAACAACTCCCTACAGAATGATGAAAACTGCAGAAGAAATGATCTCCAATGCCCCTTGCCTCTCCTCACCTCCCCAGCACCCAAGTTACTTCTGCAGGCAAAAACAAGACGAGCTAAAAGCCACTGCAGCCTAAAATTACCCAAGCTGCATGTAAAACATGATTTTTACTTTTCAAGTATAGAAAGTTTCTTAATGATCACATCAAACATGTATTACTCCTCCACTTTTAAATTAAAAATTTACTAATTTCTCCTCTTGAAGAAAACAACTGCTGTCCTCTCAAACTATTTAAAACCTTGAACAGATGTAGAGCTTGCATCATTGCAACCACACACAGAAATACTTCCACTGTAAGAAGAAAAAATATAGTCTTTGTAGCTTAATTCTAAGGAAAAAATAATTAAATCTACTGGTGCTGTGCCAATTCATGGTCTGTGGTGCTGGATTCTTTTTAAAACCAGTCATCAGAAGCATTCAGCTCAATAGAATGAGGCACAAACTTTTCACTATTTAATTGATACCGGGTTAAGTGCAAAATTCAGTTGGATGCAGTTAAATGTGGCAGCAGAGCATAATAGATGTTGGCTCCAGTTATTTTAGGATGCTTCCCGTCTCAGAAGTCTGGAGATATATGACGGGCACAGATCAAATCCATTCTGGGCAGAGACTCCAGTCTGCCTTATCCTCCTCCAAACTCCTAGTTTCCAAGCAAAGGAAACTTTCCACGCAGACCCAGAGTGATGGAGATCTGCAAAGAATCCCCTCGATGACTGGATATAGTGCAAAGCACATTTCTCCTCAGCACACCATAGGTACTGTGCTCCCACTGTCAGTGAGAATCAGCCCTTACCATGTGAGATGTGTTGACACTGAATTTGGGAAAAAAAGGCTTCTCAGAAAGTTGGACTTAGGATTCAGATACACATTTGGAGTTTGTTATCAAGTACTTAATTTCTTCTTTAAAAAAATTAACTTACGAAAGACACATTCAACAATACCTCAAAACAACTGCCAGGCAGACTCTGCAAAGTCCACAGTCCACGACCTAAAAAGGTCACAACTTAGCGAGAAAACTATTTCTTGATCTTTTAAACTGGAAGACCTGCTGCCTGAACTGTCCTTTTCCCAGTTTTTAGCAGATGATGCACATGTGTCTTGGTCAGTTTGTCATTGCCCTAAATTATGAAATTTTCTAAAATTAAAAGGATGTACTCTCTCTCTGGCTTTCATTTCAGAAGACAGGAAAGTATCTTGTGGTACGAAGTGTTACTGGGAAGTTATTGCAGTAATTGGCTGTCTACATGATTTTTACTTTCCCTTCCTTAAAGGAATGTCTGCTTGACTAAATAAAATTTCAGATATCTCTATTGTTTGGGCTATGAAATGGATACTGTCAGCTGATATATGGGAATGGAATATAAGATATTAAAGTGCTTTCTGGGGTCTTCCAGGATAAACGTTTTGGGTCAGTTTATTAAAAAAAAAAAGTGGATGAGAATTTTGATAAGACACAACAGTTAGGAAAAATGGTTTCTTGGTAATTGTTATAAGGAGGAACGAAGAATGGAGGAATCAACAGATGCAACATTTCTTCACATTTAACAAAAGTGAAGAAGAGGAATCTGCTCAGATAAAAATCAGTCCTAAATGTGATCTCTTCTTTGTAGCAGTTTAATAACCAGTGGGATTTTTTCCCTTCTCACTGCTTTTCTCTTCTTTTCTCCTGTTTTATATATTTGCATTTTATTCAGTTTGGGGAACAAATTAGATTGGTCAATATCCCTTTGCGTTCAGAGATATCTGGAAATGTCTACTACTGTTAAAAATATAACTACTGCCACCAAAATCACACTGGGATATGTCATATTAATTTACATTTCCATCTCAGGTAATATCTCATTCCTTTCTTTGAGAAATTTTTCTTACTATGGTGAACTAACAATGGCTTTAGATCTCACTCTCCAAAATTCTGCAACAGTTTAACATTAAAGATTACAGTAAATTGCCTGCAGCTTCCTTTCCCCACTATCTCTTTGCTAAATTGCACCCACATATGGTTAGCTGCTTCCTTCCACTGCAGCCAGGCAGTCCACTGGGAAAATAATTAATCTCTGCTACCTTCCCATGCAGAATCACTCACTGCAATGTCACTTCCAAGCATGAAACTGGGAGCTAGAGACAGACCATGAAATGTTATCACTTGCCAATAAGAAGTAAGTGAGCTCCAGCATATGCAGAACTATTGAGATATCTCAGCCCTGGATGTTTCAGCTGTGGATGTGAAGTGACTAGGTTAAGGGATGCAGCTGCAGCTATATTCATGTTTTCACAGCCTCTACAATATTGCCCTGTTCACTCTGTTTTACATTAGTGAAGCATGATAACATATTTTAAAATGTTTCTTTATCTAAGAAACAGCTCATACCTGTCTCAATACCTTAATTACAAAAAAAACCCACACAAAGAGTAAAATCATATCACTTCTGCTGAAGTCCAGTCAATCTGTACAGAAAGGAACAAATGAACAGAATTAATATTGTCCACAAACATACTAAACGTTCAAGAAATGTCTAGGCCCTTTTTGTCACACATTGCAGAGAGTCAAGCAAGTTCACCCATGTCAGCATGAATCATGGTGATGAGCAGGGGACAGGCAGCAGAAACTGCTTGGTGTGATGGCAACATAGAAAACATGTAGGTACTCAGGATCAGACTACAGCTCTGTGCTGTCAGCAGAGGGTCAGCCTCCCTCCTCAGGGGCTTTTAGAGCTGGCAGCACTGGTACAGCACTGGGTGACTAACTGGCTGGAACTGGCAGAGCACAAAGTGATACAAAAGATAAAACTGTGGAGAAGAAAGTATATTAGAAGAGTCTCTGAGTTAAGTAGACAGTTTTTGTTAAACTGTCAGCTCATGCAATTGTATGAATAATTTCTTTTCAAACCACAACATTTAATGTTTTCCTTTTGTGTTCCTGCTGCAGTTCCTGCTGTATTACTCCTCTAGTCACAAGAAAACGTTCGATTAAAACATGTACCCAAGCAAGAAATGGCAAACCATCTCACCTATGACAGACACACATCCCAGTGGAGCGACAAGAGCCACAGGGGCAAATCCGTAGGCTGTGAAATTGCCCACCTCTCCAAGCCCCAGGAGGGTAATCCCACACCACCATAGCTTGCTCGTGTAGTAGGGCTTCAGCTCTCTTTGGCCAACCAGTCGGAGATGAGCGCATTTCTAGAAGATTAATTGTTAGGAAGAGGTATGAATAGAAAGACTTCCATTGTGTTCTTATGTCTGAGAAAAGCAGAATAATTAAGGGGGCTGTCAACTTCAAATTCCAGGTGCATTGAGGTTTTCTTTTTAAACAAGACTTTCAGCTTGTTGTTGCAGAGCTTTGTGTTAATTCAGTGATGCTTCAGATGTGCTTTCATAACCGTGGTGGAAATGGTTGAAAAACCAGGTCTCTGAATAAACCTGAAAAATACTAAGTGAATACTAGCTAGTGCTTCCTAGCTATGACTGCACACATCCCTTCCTGCCTCAAAGCAAAGCTCATGATTTCCACAGCTTGTGCTGTGAATATTCAAAGGCAGGAGATGGGGCAGAATCAGAACTGTGGCAACACACTGGGAGAAGGGGAACAGACAACATGACATTCCTGTCCATGATGTATATCCTCACCAGAAATAAAACTTCAAAATTAAAAAGGCAGCACTTAATCACATCCTCTGTAGGGAGGGCTTTAAAACAGTTAGGGAGAATTTAGGATTTGGCTACAGTCTCCTGTTTGACCTTAGTGAAGATCACAGATAAAGAATTATTTTCTGAAGGAAAAACAGCTATACCTGTGCCAACAGGTATAACATATACTCAAGTAATACTTCATTAACACTTCCCATTACATGAAGATGCTATCATTGACACAGGTTGTAATTGTTTTTTCTCTTGTTGTACAGCAAGAACCTGTATATAACAAGATAATTTGTCTTTGATCACACTGATCATCTGAAACAGAGTCCAGGCAGTCTCCATCAGGAAGGTGTCATAAATGGGAATGATGCAATGTTTACCACATTAGTTTTGCAGAATATCGTTTCCTTTCTCAAATTACAATCAAGTGTCTCTGTGCATGCATCAAAAAATGCTGGAACTCAAAAGATACAGTTATCGCCATATAAATGGTGGCAATTTGTTTTTCACCATAACTTAATATTTGATTTTAGAGGTGTCCCTGCAGAGCCCTGGGGAGGTTGTAAACAATTCTGGGGGCCATCTCTGCCCACATGGAAGACAAGAAGGTGATCAGGAGTAGCCAGCATGGATTCACTACAGTTAATTCATGTTTGACCAACCCAGTTGCCTTCTATGGTGAAACAACTGATGGATGAAGGGAAAGCAGTGGATATTGCCTACCTTGACTTCTGCAAGGCTTTCAATGCTGTGTCTCACAGCATCCTCATAGGCAAATTCAAGAAGTGCAGGTTGGATGAGTGGACTGAGGTGGATTGAGAACTGGCTGAGCAGCAGATCCCAGAGAGCTGTGATCAGTGGCACAGAGCCTAGTTGGAGGCCTGTCACTAGTGTCCCCCAGGGTTCTATACTGGGCCCAGTATTGCTTAACTTGTTCATCAGTGACTTGGATGAGGGGATAGAGTTCTCCCTCAGGAAGTTTGCTGGCAATACAAAACTGGGAGGAGTTGCTGATACCTCAGAGGGCTGTGCTGTCCTTCAGAGGGACCTTGGCAGGTTGGAGAGATGGGCAAAGAACCATCTGAAATTCAACAAGGGCAAAGGTCTTGCACCTGGGGAAGAGTAACCCCAAGCACCAGTACAGGCTGGGGGCTGACTTGCTGGAGACCAATTCTGTGGAGAAGGACCTGGGGGCCCTGTGCATAACAAGCTGTCCATGAGCCAGCAGTGTGCCCCTGTGGCTATTTTGGCCAACAGAATCCTGGGATGCATTGTTGTTTCACCTGAATACAAGGAAGAGCTTCTTTACTGTGCCAGTGACTGTGTACTTGAACAGATTGTCCAGAGAGGTTGTGGAGTTTCCCTTGCAGAAGATATTCAAGAACAATCTGTACACAATCCTGTTCCATGTGCTCTAGGACAACCCTGCTTAAGCAGGAAGGTTGGACCAGATGACCCACTGTGGTCCCTTCCAGCCTAATTGATTCTGTGATTCTGAATTTTCCTCGTACTTCCATTCTACGCCACAGGCCAAGCAGTAATATCTCTGATCCTCCATAGTCTTAGTAATTTCTCTTGTTGAGAGGATGCAGCACATTATTGCAGCTTCATGGAACATATGCATGGGGATGAAATCCTAGGAAGTTTAGCCCTCCAGGGCTGTGAAATTAAATGCTGAGATCTAGAGAAAGTCATTATTCATATTTAGAAAATACTATTACTAAATGGAGAAAAATCTATTTTAAATGCTAAATAAAAATTTCAGTTTAAACTATCTGTCAAACAGCAGTGAGAGCTATTGGGTTTTCCTAAACAGCATGTAAAAACCTGAAAGATAGTCCAAATCCAGTAAGTGCTGTTAATGATGACAAGTCAATAGAAGCATATTCCCTTGGCAAAGCATCCACTTTGGCTTTCAGCAGACAAAAGTATAAAGTCTGAACAACCTCATTATTACAGGCTAGACTGAATTTCCACTTCACCTTCACCTTTCCACTTCAACTCAGAAGTTTTCCTAGAGCCTGTCCTAGCACCATCACCACCAACAGGCTGGAACTCATATCAGAGAAGCAGATGTCATACCAACCTGCCTGCCACCCCTGCCTAACAGGTTTCTTTCTATGGGATTCTCCAACTAGAGATACTTAAAATAGGAGGGAATCACTGAAGAACGTTCTAGCATTAATAAAGTCAGTTATCATGAATAGATTTCATATTTCACAGCTTTCTGCTTTATCCTTTACAGAAGAAGCAAGAATTAGATTCATATGAGACATACAACTCCTAAAATACAAGCTAACAAAAATACTTTTTCTGGACAACTTAGATAGCAACGTGCTCTGTGTTTTAAAAACTTTTGTTAGAAGACCTAAAAATACAATGGAGTCTACAAGATATGTATTATAGTGAATTATTTAACTTTCTACTGAGTATGTATTCTAATCATTAACACAAAAAGGATTTTATAAATGTCATCCTACAACCCTTTACCACAGTTGTAAGGGCAGCACCTCCCATTACTTTTATGATTTAAATAGTATTTACTCAGATTATTTTATCCCAATTGCAGAAGGAAAACTAAATTGGTCAAAGTTGCTTTGGGGCCCAATACTGCAAAAAACTTTATGCCTTTATGCATTTAATTACATCAATCACTCCATTAAGCAGTGCCTAAGACCTTGTGGCCAATTCAATTTTAGATTTGGACACTCTGAGACAGGTTCAGTGGGACCACAAGTGAGTCACAGCAGGTATTTCCTCATGGCACATTACATGGAGGAGCAGGAGTTAAGAATTTTGACTCTGTTCCTATATGAGAATTACAGCACAGAACAGGTTGAGAGCTCCCAACAATTCCAAAGTCCCAGCAATGACTGAAGGGCACTGTTAAATTACAGTTAAAGAGAGAGAATGCTTATTAAATGCAACAAAATTTGTATTCTGAACTTCAACAAAACCAAACTGCAACATAAGTTACTTACTAAATATAAACAACTCCACATAAAGAGAAACAATTTCATACCTGTATATTCAATGAGACACTAATCAGAAAATTTGAAGCAGCAGCAAGCAAAACTCCCAAGAGCTGAGTCTGCAAGATCACAAAACAGAGAAGTATAAAAATACTTATTAGGTTCAGAAGAACAATACAATGGTGGTTTTCTGGTAGCACATTGTAACCCAGTCAAAAACAAATTATTGCACTTTTCAGTGAATGAGTTCATGCTGCACTGAGTAAACTGATATGAAAATATCTCTGCACAGTTGACTAGGGTTTAAGTAGCAAACAAGTGGGAATGGAAAGGGCATCTCAGTGCAGGAGGTGGTTTTGTTGTCCTTCAGTAGAACACTTTCTTATATCTCACAAAAGAGAAAACTAGGCAGGTCTCAGATGAAAACTACACACAGTTATGCTTTTTTTGGGGGGAAAAAGAAAGGACCTGCTTTGTTACATAATCCAGAAGCAATTAAATCATTTGTACTGGAACACAATTACCTTACGTGTTAGCATATCCACTATTTGACAGGGCAGCCAGGAACATAGGTCTCCTGACAGTTTCTTTCATCTCTTGTGTTATTTCATTAAATCATTTCCTAATCAGCCTGTCTAATTTTCAGTAATATTTGCCGACTTTCTATGAAGCTGCAAAATTAAAAATATTCAAGCAGGAGCCATTATTTTGGAAAGCAGCCATTTATAAAGATGCCATTTCAGCAAGGTCACACAACAGGTACGTGATACATCTCCCTGTCTACCTTCAAAATGCTGCAACACTTTGCAAGTCATCCTAAGTGTATTCAAGATCCATTCAAGGTCACTGCTATAGTGCTGTGAGGAGCCCCATTAGCCTGTAGGTAAGACATACTATCAGTTTTTATAAACAAGGTCATGGTAACATAACCAAGCATAACTACTGCTTGCAGGCAGTAAAGCAGCATCCAATTCCATGCTTGCAGCCTGAGCTTCATGACTCATCCAAGAAGGTCCCTGGGCAGCTATGAACAGACAGCACCTATCAGCCACAGCAACTGTTGCCCCTCAGCATTTATAAAGAGCAAGATGGAGTTCAGCAAGCTCTTGAAGGGGGGATTATTGCTGTGGGTAGATAATTCCCAGACAAAGAAAAGGCATCCCCAGAAGTGTGAAGAAACAACAGCCTTTGTACAAATGGATTATAATATTATTTAAGAGACACAGCAGAATCCAGCCATTTCCAGCTCATGTGTTTCTGTAGTGGCTTAGACTCAGAGGGAGAGGCAGACAACAGAACTGTGCTGAGTGTAATGCCTGGCTGACTGCCAAGTGTCACCAAGACATGACTGACAGGTGTAAGGAGATGCAAAGAGGAGAATGCAGGAGGCAAAACGGCTCCCTTCGTGCTATTACTGCATCAGTGCCACAGCCTGTGTGCAAGCAGCATTCAGTGAGAAGCATTGCTCAAGAGTTTAGCCCATACCCTCTGGTGCATGGCCACTGGAGACCCTCCCCATCTTGCATCCTCTCCCTGCACCGCAGTATCCTCCAGTGGATGATCCTTGACTGTCACACACAGTACATTTTCCATGCTCTGGGAACACACCTCAATGGGACCAGTGGGGAGTCTGTGACGAGATGTCTCAGCACACCTCAGCAGAGCTATCTCTGCTGAGATCAGGCACTGTTACAGGGACTCGAGGAGCCGTGCAGCCTCCTGCTACACTGGGGAAATATGTCACATGGACATCACTCAGGGCCTTACTGGAGCAGAGGGGATGGGCTGTCCTCCCTTAGGCGTTGATGCTGTAGTATCAAATCCTTATCATTCATCTTGCACAAAATTTGACCACTTCAGAGGTGGATTATAGCACTCTCCTCATCATTTTGCACACACAGCAGCTTCAAAAAACCAGCAGTTAAATCAAAATTGTTTTCTTGCTCACAAAGACTTGTTCTTTTTAAATGACAACATGCTCCCTTGTGAGAAGGTGGAGAAATGTCCTTGTCAGCTTTGCCATGAAGTGTTTAAGAGAAAAGAGACAGCAGGGAATAAAAAGCAGAAACTGCCACCTCATTTGCCCCATCACTTTATCACTTTCACATGAGTAATTATAATACACCCCCACTACTCGCAGAAGTAGTGGGGATGGTCTCTCTGTAGCTCTTTTCATTCCAGAGGGTGATCCTATTGTTACGACTGCATCTCTGGATAGCCCCTTGCAGCTCCTTCCTCACAGACTTCAGCTGGGGGTCACAAACACTGTGCAGGACTCAGGAGGAAACCAGCACCCCAGGGAGGAAGCACAGTTGATCTTGAACCAGCACAAAGGAGGGACTCCATCCAGCTCTGGAGGTAAAACTTGCATGCAGCTGGTGAGCAGAGGATGAGTCTACGTGTTCCAACTGTCACGTAAAAAAAGAAATCAGATCCATGAATAGGTACTGATGATGATCTGAGTATGTGCCTCCAGAGGCTGTGAATCAAATGCCCATTTGATGGCTTTACACACTGCATAGACCAGGTTTCCAGAAGTAAGTTTTCCAGTGCCCTGCTTCATGGGGGTCCTCCCCAGAATAGCAACTGGTTTTGTACCAGGGTGGTTGCTTCCTCAGGTACCTGTGAGTTTGGCTCAGATATCCGGGTAGGACACATATTTCTAACATAATCAGCCTGTGTCTGAACAGGAACCATCTCACAAAAGTCAGTTCTCTTCTTAGAGAATCACAGAATTATAGAATTACAGAATGGTTTGGGTTCAAAGGGACCTTAAATATCACCTAATTCCAACACCCTTGTTATGGGCAGGGACACATTCCACTAGACCAGGTGGCCCAAAGTCCCATCCCATCTGGCCTTGAACACTTCCAGGGATGGGGCATCCACAACTGCTCTGGGCATACTGTTCCAGTGCCTCACCACCCTCGTTGTGATAAGCTTCTTCTCTATATCTAGTCCAAATCTACCCTCTTTTAGTTTAAAACCATTACCCTGTGACACTCCGCTGTGCCTAACTTAAGCAACCTCCTGGTCTGCACACAAGGAAAAACAGTGCATGTGTATGATCAAGGCAAATGTGTAGCAGCAGTCTGGGCTCAAAACATACGCTCTTTATTGCAATGGCCACATGTTTCACCTGGGCATTGCTGTTGGCATATATACTGCGCTGTCTGCTCCAGGCTGACGTGTTAATGAGCTCTGGTTAGTATGGCAATAGCACCATACTTCCAAACACAGGACTGGACAGATCCCTAAAGATTAAAAACAGAGTACAATGCCCAAAGGAGGTCAAATATCACATGGATCTATTCAGGGAGACAAGATGAAAGTACAGCAGCGCTATACAGCTATACAGCTACAGCATAGCAAAACTGTCTTGGTACAGGTTCATACTCAGACATACCAATATTAAATAAAATGAAGAGGAAAATTACATTGCAAATGTCACAAATCAGAGTGAATCTTAAAACTGCAGGCAGTTTGTAATACACAAGCCCTATCACATACAGCATTGCTCAAACAGGAAAGAAAAAAACAGGATACCGTATCTCAGACTAGTAAAACTATGCACAAATGAAAGATGACCTGCAACACAAGACAGATCACTGTATCAACCCAAAATGGTTGCTGTATTGCAATAGGTGGCTAAAGGATTGGTGCTA